GTTGGTAGTCTGGAAGTTAATCCAGGACTCCCATGTAGGTAGCAGAAACAGAATCACTTGAGCCATCACCACTGTCTGCATTAGCAGGAAGCTGGAGTCAGGGAGTGTGGCCTGGTATCAAATCCAAGCATTCCAATATGGGACACAGGCATCCTAAATGCCCTCTTAGCTGTGTGCCAAATGCACTCCCTGCCACCATCATGATCTTTTTAAATGAAATGAACATTTCTTCAGGCTGAACCACCTAAGCAAGTATAACCCATCAGACTGCCAGACAAGCAATGCCTACATGAAGATAGAGAGCCTTAGACTTCAAATAGCATCCTCAGTCATTTGTAGATACAGATACCTTGTGTGACTCTGTACAAGCTCATACAACCTGTATCATACACTATGAACTCGATATTGGAATCTGTTCTTTTTTACTTATGGTTCTTTCTGGAGGTAACATTACAAAATAATTTCAAAATGAGGAGTTGGGAAATGGTAAATATAGAAAAGCATAAAGAACAATATTTTGCATAATTGTGCAGTCTCCATTAGCATCTGTTGCATTTCCTTCCAGATTTTTGTTTTAGGATTTATTTATTTATTTGAAAGTCAGAGTTACAGAGAAGGAAGCAGAGACAGACGGAAAAATCTTCTACCTGCTGGTTCACTACCCAGATGGCCACAACAGCCAGGACTGGGTCAGACAGAAGCCAGGAAGCTCATTCTGGGCTCCCAAATAGATTGCAGGGGCCCAAACACTTGGACATCTTCTACTGCTTTTCTCAGACCTTTAGCAGGGAGCTGTATTCAAGGTGGAGCAGCTAGGACAGGAACTGGTACCCATATGAGATGCTGGCATCACAGGCAGAAGCTTTACCTGCTATGCCACAATGCCAGCCTCACAGAATTTTTTATAGTTTTGTATCTTTTATTTGTACTATTTCATAAAAATATCCCTATAATTAAAATTATTTTCAATATAATATATATAATGCATATAATGTAACACTTCATGAATATACCACAATATATGTCTCAACCATTTCTCAATTGTTAAATACTTAGATTGTTTCTGAATTATCACTATTTTATAAACACATGCAAATACACATATATATGCTATTACACTTTGGTTAATCTATGTGGCCATACTGATTCTCTAAAGTTTGGATGATTTCATTTGGGGACATTTCTAGAGGCAAATGTTATATGACAGTATAAGAATATCTTTAGGAGTCTTGATACATAGAGTTAAATTATACCACAACCTAATCTAAGACATAAAAAGTCATAACCAGAGATTTCAACTGGACATAATGTGGAGTGTTACCGTAAGGCTGAGGGAAAGAGCAGGGCAGGCCAGCTGATGTAGACAGTAGGGAGGCCCCCCGGTTCACTTGTATGATGCCGTCTACCCCTGTCCAGACTGTGGTTTGACACAACCAGGACGTGCTTGATCACTCTGATGTCAGTATTTATGGGGCTAATTCTCATTGCTATGCCTGACTGGGAATTCCTGAAGGACACCAATGATGTAATAAACTGATTCTGTCTATGTCTATTCTCAATCAACTGTCAGAAAGATCCTTTTAAAAACATAAACCAGAGAGTTGATCTTCTTTGCACAAAATCCTGAAACTGCTTTTCACGTCAAAAGTCAGGGTCATTGCATGGTCCTACCTGATCAGATTTTGTTTTACTTTGCTGACCTCCGGCCCTACCCTCTCCCACAGGTGCACTGTGTCCAGCCACACCAGCCCGCTTGCTGTGTCTCTGTAGTCACTGCTCCTACTTCCTGGAATGCTCCTCCCCAAGGTGTCTACTTAGCAGAATCCCTCACTTTTCAAGAGTTAATCTAAATATTATCCGATTTTAAAATTTTATTTTTTTTTTACTTATTTGAAAGGCAGAGATAGAGTGAGAAGGAAGGAAGGGAGGGAGGGAGGGAGGGAAGAAGATGCCTCCTATCTGCTAATTCACTCTCCAGATGCCTGCAAGCTCCACTCAGGTCTCCCCTGTGGGTGACAGAGCCCCAAGTACTTCAGCAATTACCTGATGCTTTCCAGGGTGCGTGTTAACAAGAAGCTAGAATCGGAAACAGGGCCAACACTCAAACCCAGCCACTCTGATCAGAGATGTGAGATCCCAAGCAGCAATTTAATCACTGCACCAAATGCCTAAACCCAAAATATTGCCTTCTTAATGAAGCCTATTCTCACCATACCACTAAATATCGTGATCTGGGGCCAGCGCTGTGGCACAGCAGGTAAAAGCCACTGCCTGCAGTGCTGACATCCCATATGGGTGCTGGTTCAAGCCCAGGCTGCTCCACTTCCAATACAGCTACCTGCCATGGCCAGGGAAAGCAGTGAAAGATGGCCCAAATCCTTGGGTCCCTATAGCCACAGGGGAGATCTGGAAGAAACTCCTGGCTCCTGGCTTCAGATCAGCCCAGCTCTGGCCATTGCAGCCATCTGGGGAGTGAACCAGCAGATGGAAGACACCTCTCTCTCTCTCTCTATTTCTGTTTCTCTGTAACTCTGCCTTTCAAATAAATAAATAATTTTTTTAAAAGAACACTGATCTGACTTCCCCACTCTATCTCAGGACCAACCATTTTGGACTTCTGTTATTTCTCCTCTCTCTCTCTCTCTCTCTCTCTCTCCCTCTCTCCCTCTCCCCCTCTCCCCCTCTCTATCTCTCTATCTCTCTATCTCTCTAATTCTTAGCCATTTTTATTTTATTTGAAAGGCAGGGAGGGGCAGCATTGTGGCATATTAGGCTAAGCCTCCACCTGTAGCGCCGACACCTTATATGAATGCTGGTTTGTGACCTGGCTGCTCCTCTTCCAATCCAGCTCTCTGCTGATAGCTTGGGAAAGTAGTGGCAGATGGCCCAAGTGCTTAGGTCCCTGTACCCATGTAGGAGACTCGAAGAAGTACCTGGCTCATGGCTTCTGTTTGGGTTAGCACCAGCCATGGTGGCCATTTGTGGAGTGAACCAGCAGATGGAAGACCTTTCTCTGTCTCTCCCTGTCTCTGTCTGTAACTCTACCTCTCAAATAAATAAAATCTTTAAAAAAAAAAGGCAGGGAGAGAGAGAGAGAGGGGTAGATAGAGAGAGTTTCCATCCATTTGTCTACTCCCCAAATGCCCCCACAGCTAGGATTGTGAGGAGCCAGCACTCAATCATGGCCTCCTGTGTGGATGGTAGAGACTCGAGAGAGGGAGCCATCACGTGCTGCCTCACAATCTGCACATCCACAGGATGCTGGAATCAAAAGTGTAGTTAGGACTCCAACCCAGGACTGCCAATATGGTGGCAGGTAACTGAACTGCTGCACCAAATGCTTGCCCCTGTTCTCTTTAATTAAAAAAAAAATTGTACTTATTAACTTTTTAACATATTTTTTTTAAGATTGATTTTATTTATTTGAAAGGCAGAGTGACAGAAAAAAAAGGAGAGATAGAGAGAGATCTTCCATACGCTGGTATTCTCCCTAAATAGCTGCCAATAGCCAGGGCTGGGCCAGGTCAAAGCCAGAAGCCATGAGGTTCTTCTGGGTCTCCCACATGGGTACAGGGGCCCAAATACTTGGGTCACCTTAAGGTGCTTTCCCAGAAGCATTAGCAGGGCCTGCATGGGAAGCAGAGTAGCCAGGACTCGAACCAGCACCATGCTGGCATTGAGGCAGTGGCCTAACCCATTGGACCACAGCACTGGCTCCTTAATGTATCTTTTTACTACTATATAATTTATCATATTCACTATCATCTGTAAACTCCAATAATATATGTTGTTTATAACTTACCTGTCCCTGCCATCTACAACAGTCCCTGACACATAGTAGAAACACAGAAATATTATTTTAATGTTACAGCTTGAGTGAAAGGGCTGGACAGAAAATATTACACAATCATCCACAGTGTTATAGTAATGGTGGTCAGGACAGACTACCCTAAGATGTGTCACCTCAGTATAAATACGGCTGAAACAGGAAGGCCACACTCATCCTCTCTTCACCCTTCTGAGATCATAACACTCTCATGTGAAGGGTGCCCTCACTGTCCCCAGAGGAAAGGAACACCCACAGAACACAAAGAAAAATCTGGACAAATAGCCTTTGCTAAGCTTCCCGCACTTTATTATCATCAGGTCATATCCTTTTGTTCTGCAGCCCTAGTTCGCCATGACTACACACTCTTCATCAAAACTAGCATGACAATGCATTAAGTTTAATCAGTTTTTCAGCTCTTCATTCCCTCATTAAGGCTTCCATTTCACATAGTTTGTAGTAATAACATTTACATGTTTTCTCATTTTAATCTTTTTGCAATAGGAGCCTCAATATGAACCTAGGGTGGATAGAGAAAAAGATATTTTCATCCCTTACATTATTTGAGGTCAGGTTGCTGTTGTCTTAATCTTTGGGAGGATTCACCATGTAATGAACTTGTTCTCCAAAGCACTGAACCATTGTACCTCACCCACTGGTGTGTAGTCATCCCCATGTTGTCATGCACCCTGGGTGCCTTTGGATCTTCTTCTCAGACCACTTGTGGCCATTTCTGCACATATCTGGTCTTACAGGTGGGAATGCAAGTGAGGAATGTTCTCCCTCAACCTCATGATACACACGCCATCTCTTGAATATTTCTTAGAGCCCCATTATTTCCCTGCTTAAATGTGCCTTCAGTTTTTAGACTTGAATCCCAGCAATTCTCTTTGAAGATAGAGGGATGGAAGATGGCAGAATCCCATATTAAAAAGTCCATATTACTTTTTTAAATGGTTACAGGAAATATTTATTTGAGAACAAATGGGGGGTTGCAGGGAGGAAGGAAAGTACTGTATGTTGATACGCAATTTAAAATAATATAAAGTCTTTGTTTATCAAACTTAAAATTGTGTGAAGTAGATACAATATCTTTTATATCAGCTTTTCCAGTAAGGTAAAAATTAACATCTTAGCATTATTTTAGATGTAGCGTTGGTGGGTGCTCTATATGGATGGGTTCTGTGTCCATGAATTCAGCCAACCACAGATCACAAATATTCAAAAAGAATTTCACCTGTTCTAAACAATGCAGACTTTTTTTGGGGGGTCATTATTCTCTAAGCAATACAGTATAACTACTATTTACTGATAAGAACAGATACTACACTTGATCTTAGCCAAAAGGCCGAGAGGTGATATAAGAACTATTTACATACCCTTTATTAGGTATGTATTAGGTATTTTAAGCAAAATAGAGATGATTTGAAGTACATAGAAAGATGTGTATAGTTTATATGCAAATGCAATGCCCTTTTCTGTAAGACATTTAAATAACCAATGGGTTTTGGTATCCACAGGGATTTCTAGAACCAATTCTTCCTAGATCCTGAAGAACAAGTAATTTTAATATACCTATGTATGTCTTGGGAAGAATGGGAGCTGTGTATGGAGTTGGAATATTTAGTCATTAAAAATTCCAATTTTGAGGCCGGCGCCGCGGCTCACTAGGCTAATCCTCCGCCTAGCGGCGCCGGCACACCGGGTTCTAGTCCCGGTCGGGGCGCCGGATTCTGTCCCGGTTGCCCCTCTTCCAGGCCAGCTCTCTGCTGTGGCCAGAGAGTGCAGTGGAGGATGGCCCAGGTGCTTGGGCCCTGCACCCCATGGGAGACCAGGAAAAGCACCTGGCTCCTGGCTCCTGCCATCGGATCAGCGCAGTGCGCCGGCCGCAGCGCGCCGGCCGCGGCGGCCATTGGAGAGTGAACCAACGGCAAAGGAAGACCTTTCTCTCTGTCTCTCTCTCTCTCACTGTCCACTCTGCCTGTCAAAAAAAAAAAAAAAAAAAAGAAAGAAAAAAGAAAAAAAAAAGAAAAGAAAAATTCCAATTTTGGCCGGCGCTGTGGCTCACTAGGCTAATCCTCCGCCTTGAGGTGCCAGCACACCAGGTTCTAGTCCCGGTCGGGGCACCGGATTCTGTCCCGGTTGCCCCTCTTCCAGGCCAGCTCTCTGCTGTGGCCAGGGAGTGCAGTGGAGGATGGCCCAGGTGCTTGGGCCCTGCACCCCATGGGAGACCAGGAGAAGTACCTGGCTCCTGCCATCGGATCAGTGTGGTGCGCTGGCCGCAGCGCACCAGCCATGGCGGCCATTGGAGGGTGAACCAACGGCAAAGGAAGACCTTTCTCTCTGTCTCTCTCTCTCACTGTCCACTCTGCCTGTCAAAAAATAAAAATTAAAAAAATCCAATTTTAAAATAAACATTTTTACATGCGACTAGTAAAGATAAATGCTGTTATCAAGATAAGTATCTGTGAAGAAATTTCCGAAGTAAACAAACTTAAAATATTTTTTGCCAAAATAACTTTTTCATTTTGTCCTGAAAACAAATCCAATTGTATTTGCAGGATTTCTAAAAATATGAAAAATAGTCCTTATGGCCTTTCTCATTCATCAATTTTGCAATTAAGTAAAGATAGTTCCTTCTTCTTTCCTACTTGTTCTTCAGACACATAGAAGGAGGCCAAGATAAAGAAGCCAATCAAAGTATTTGGACCTGAATATGATAGATTTAAAAACATCAAAGGGTATATCAAGAACCTAAATATAATTACAGCTACATGTCACTTAAAAGTGGGGGATACATTTTGAGGAAGAGACAATTAGGCAGTTTCCTCCCCGTGTGAGCATTTTAGCATGCTTGCACACACTAGGAAGCTTACAATGCCACTAGAAGGAATCATCTTATGGAACGATTGTGTATATGCAATCCACTCTTTTTAAAAAGATTTATTTATTTATTTCAAAGGTACAGTTAGAGAGAGATAGAGAGAGAGAGAGAGAGAGAGAGGGAGAGAGGGAGAGAGAGAATCTTCTATCTGCTGGTTCATGTCCCAGATGGCCAAAGCAGCCAGGGCTAGGCCAGGCAGAAGCTAAGAGCCAGGAGCTTCATCCTGGTCTCCCATGTGGGTGGCAGGGGCCTGAGTACTTGGGCCATGTTCCATTCTTTTTCCATACCATTAGGAGGAAGCTGGACTGAAAGTGGAGCAGCCTCCAGGACACAAACCAGCACCCATATGGGTGGCAGCTTTACCAGCTATACCACCATGCCAGTCCAGTAACCCACTTTTTTTTGTTAAGACTTATTTTATTTATTTGGAAGAGTTACAGAGAGGGAGAGATGAAAGAGAGAGAGAGAGAGAGAGAGAGAGAGAGAGAGAGGATCTAAATCCACTGGTTCATTCCCAAAACGGCTGTAATGGCATGGGCTGGGCCAGACTGAACTCAGGAGCCAGGAGCTGCTTCTAGGACTCCCACATGGGCACAGGGGCCCAAAAACTTGGGCCATCCTCTGTTGCTTTTCCAGACATATTAGCAGGGAGCTGGGTTAGAAGTGGAGCAGCCGGTGCTCAAAAGGCATGTCGGTGCTGCAGGCAGTGGCTTAACCTGCTGTACCGCAGTGCCAGCCCTAGCAATCCATTCTTGACTGACAAGTCATACGGCCCATGACTATACTAAGAAGGAAAGGGGGGAGATATCAATTGCTTGGGAAAAAGTTTACTAAAATCTAAGTCATTAAAGCAGCTCTTCTATGATTAGGACAAATGTTGAAAACATGTTTCAAAACACCCAAAAGTTGAGGCAGGCCACCATATGTCATGCTAATGAAACCCCTGTTCCCCTGTTACCTGCACTAGCTCTGATTAATGAAGGACATGCCATGAATGATACAAGTGATTACACTGCATAAGGTAGGACACAGACAGGCCATGGCTTGATTAGATTCAGGAACAAACACCTCCTCTCTCCAGGGGCACGGCTGTCCGCCGCACAGCAGTCATCTGTTAAGTAGTGGCATATTTCACCATGAAAGTTACCAAGTGCCAGCTTAGAATTTAACACTTGCCATCCCAAAGCTGCTTTAAAATCTACCCCACCACCACCTCAAATAAAAAATGGGAACAAGGATATAAAGGGCAAAGCAAACTGTAAAAGCAAAAAGGAAGGATGTAATATCTTGGAGAGGCCCAAATGTTAATATGCCATGGACAAACACAGATATATTTCTAGCATTGGTGGTGACAAGGTTCTGCATTTTGGGCTTTGTAAATATTCCAAACTAAAGAACCTGTGGGGCCAGTGCTGTGGCGTAGCAGGTGAAGCTGCCGCCTGCAGTGCTGGCATCCCATACTGCTCCACTTCCTATCCAGCTCTCTGCTATGGCCTGGGAAAGAAGTGGAGGATGGCCCAAGTCCTTGGGCCCCTGCATCAGCATGGGAGACCTGAAAGAAGCTCCTGTCTCCTGGCTTTGGATTGGCACAGATCTGGCTGCTGCAGCCATCTGGGGTGTGAACCAGGGGATGGAAGACTTGTTTCTCTCTGCCTTTGCCTCTACCTCTCTGTAACTCTGCCTTTAAATAAATAAATAACTCTTAAGAAAAAAAAATAACTGTATGTATGAGATACATGAAATTTACCAAAACAATAAAAAAGAACCTGTTCTTCTGTGTCTTAGAAGGTCACCTACTTGAGCCAAATATTCAGATTTGCAAGGTTCAGCTGTACAATGTTGGTAAAAGAAGGTAGGGAATACACACCTAGCTATTCAAAGCTACTGAGCAAAACTGATGGGGTAAAAGATCTTATGTCATCATACTCTCTTATCTTTAACCATCGTCTATTGTTGGTTTTGGGGGATGCAATCTGTATTTATGTTTGTCTGTCCTATTTCAGCTATTACAACGGAGGGCCAACATTTTATCAACAAACCCACGGACTAACAATTTGTCTGCCTGGAAAGAAAGCCTTACGAATGCCCCTTTACATGCAGCCAGAAATAATTCTTAAGGACAGTCTTGAATACTCTTTGCGGGAAAAGTCAAGCTTGGAAAAGTGGGAAATAACTGATCCTTCTTTTCAAAGTATAGTAAGATTTATCCATATTACCTTCAGGTTTGATCTGCCAGGGATTCAGCATTAGATTCTGTAAATGTGGCTGAAGATCAACAGCACTTTTCCTACTTCCGTTGTGGTTAATTATGCTAAGAGTGAGATTTATTAAAAAAAAAAAAATTCCCAGTGTAAAAGCAACCTCTTCAGAAGATACCAGTCTCCCTGTAGGTGCTTTTAGTATCCTGATTAATATCAGTGAATATGATGGCACAAAAATGGTAGAGGCTCTGGAAAATTTGTTTCAGTTGGAGGCCGCTATATCTGGACTCTCAATTAAACAAGGTAGAAGTAGGGTCTGTACCACCAGAGTTTACGGTGTTTTTAGAAAATCAAGACAAGTATAGGGAAAGTGCACCCAACAGCAATTAGTTGCACAAGTAAAATATTAGGAGTTCACAGCAAAATGACTGGATAAAGGTGTTGTGGGCAAGTCAAAGAGAAGAAACTAGACTTAAACTTGCTATTGAGTATCAGAAGATTTTGTACAAAATCAAAGCTTAAGAATGAGGCAGAGGAATTCAGGTTATAACTAAATCTTTGCCTGTAGTTCATGAGATCTCAATGTGATTAAAACTACATAAATGAGGCCAGTGCTGTGGCTTAGCGGAAAAAGCCGCTGCCTCTAGTGCTGGCATCCCATATGGGTGCTGGTTCATGATTCAGCTGCTCCACTTCTGATCCAGCTCTCTGCTATGGCCTGGGAAAGCAGTAGAAGATGGCCCAAGTCCTTGGGCCCCTGCACCTGCGTAGGAGACCTGGAAGAAACTCCTGACTTCTGGCTTCCCATCAACACAGCTCTGGTGGTTGTGGCCATCTGGAGAGTGAACCAGGAAATAGAAGACCTCTCTCTCTCTCTCTCTCTTTCTCCCCCTCTCCCCCTCTCCCCCTCTCTCCCTCTCTTCCTACCTTGGCCTCTCTGTAACTCTGCCTTTCAAATAAATAAATAAATCTTAAAAAAATGTACATAAATAAAAATGAAATTTTTTGAACAGGAAAAAAGATATTTTTCAAGAAATATTTCACTTTATAGACCATTATGCTAGAGCAATTAAAATTAACTCTAATTTTTTTAAAAAAGAGGTAATTATTTCTTGGAACTTTAGTACAATTCATTGTATAGATTTCATCCCTAGTAATGCTAAACAGAAGAAACGCAAGCATGCACAGCACAAAAAGAGTTCTAAAACCCAATTCAGGTAGCTCTTGCAATGAAGTTGAAGGGATGAACAGGAAATGCATCAGAATTAGACATAC